CTCTCTCTTTTTACACACACACACACACACACACACACACACACACACACACACACACTAAATGCACTACACTACACACATACCGGAGGACTAGTAAAGAGGTCAGAGCATGTCTCGGCGTGGAAGTGCCCTGCTGAAAAAGATACCAGGAGAGAAAAATCCAATACGCTGACGTGAAGGTCGGTGTCGAAACTCATTCCAGAACTAATTCCACCCTCTTCACTCTGTACTAATGACCGTAGCAGTAGACGGAAACCTGGAAACACCAATCCAAATTCATTGTGCTCCAGTCACCTCAGCCACCACCGGAGGAGGCTCTGGCGTGGGCGACGCTGTTCGGGGGCCCCGTGGCGGTGGTTGACGGCGGCGGGGGCGGCGGTCGCTGGGCCGCCTCCTTGCACGCCCACGCCCAAGCCCCGCTGCTCCTGTGGCGCGCTCCCAGCCTCTCCTTTGCCACCGCCAAACTTCCTGCGTGGCTGGAGAGCCAAGGCGGCTACGTGCTCACGGCGCCCACCGCTCAGCATCTCATCTGGTTGCTCACGAAACAATCCCAGGACGCCATTTCAAGCAGAGTCAGTGAGGTAGGTGTAGGCAGACAATGAACACGTCGGAATATTGTAGGTGATTAGTGTAATGCGCAAACCTTAATTTGACTTAACTGAAAGATTTAAATTCACGAATTTGAGTTACTCCCCCTCTCTCTTTCTTCCTCTTTCCTTCTCTCTCTCTCTTTCTTTCTCTCTTTCTTTTCTTTCCTTCTCTCTTTCTTCCTCTTTCCTTCTGTCTTTCTTCCTCTTTCCTTCTCTCTTTCTTCCTCTTTCCTTTTCTCTTTCTTTCTTTTGTTCTTTCTTTCTCTCTCTTTCTTTCTTTCTTTCTTTCTTTCTCTTTCTTTCTTTCTCGCTTGCTCACTTGCTAAATTAAACATATTGGTCGATGTGTACTGTACATAGGAACCTAACATTTCTCAATTGAATCAGGAATATCTGCACTTCGTTTCATAGCTTTTGGTGGTAAAAATTAGCCATATTCAAAATTAATACTGAAAGAGACAACGCTTCATAACAACTCACTTCTATAAGTTGGCAATTATTTGCGGCAAAATAGTGATATGGGAGTGGTTTTTGTCACTGCTGGCCTTTTTTTTTTATTGCTATAGTAATGTCTTTGATAGCGTTAGTAGAGTGAGTTAATGTGAAGAATGAGGAAGTTTTGATGTATTAGGAAATTTGATAAGTAATTAGTAACGATATCCAAAGGTGGATTGATGTTCTTTTGTCTAAGAAATGTTATTTGTATAATAATGGATAACACTATCAAATTATAAAAGATGAAAAGAAATGTTAATATTTGTTTTAGATTCTGCTTCATAAAAAACGTCCACTACAATTCAGTTCTTTCGTGCCAATACTATTGGCTGTAACGCAAGAACCTGAAAATATTTTTACAACTCAAACTGCACCAAAGCCAAAGACGAGAGATCAAAATGAGGCAAGAAAATTATTTACTCATTTATGGAAGCGACACCAATCTCTTCGTGGATTTCTCGTGGTGGAGGACGAATCAGGTTTATGTTTTCACTGTTAAAGTATTTAAATAGAAGTATTTAAATTAAGAGTAATCATTTAATCTCAGATTATTTTATTTTATTCGTCATGAAATATATATTAAGAAAAGAATCTTTGTTAAAAATATGATTGAGCTGAAAATAATTTAAGAATTCCTGAGAGATCCTATATGATCATATATATCCACACACGAACCTGCGGATAGAATATCTCAAATTGAAGTCAACCCTTGACAGAAAACTCATAGACAAATACATTTGAAGGCTTTATTCTGTAGTGAGAAAACTCGATGTTTTAGTGTTCTAACGGTGTTTAATGAAAGAGTTAATTTTAACGCCGCGACGAACTTAACGAAGCACCCTATAAATGTACTTTGGTTAGTAATCTATCGTCACCTTTCTTTAAAAAGCACGCAAATCATTATATCGAAGGCGGGTGGGGCGGACGGGGTGTTTAATATATAAAACTCAAGCATAAATAACTACCTGGGCAGGATCTGGTTACTTCACTTAGTATGAAGAAATTCGAGTGTATTTTAATGAATGTTGATACTAGGTGCATAGATACTGTGTTAAAATAATTACTTTAAATTGTATTTGGAGCAGGGAAAAAATTCTGTCGGACTCATTTTTTTAGGGAAGATAACTCCTACAATTCTATTAATATCATACATTTGTGGCATTTAAAACAATAGTGTGGCAGTTTTAGTCAATTTCAATTACTCGTAAACTTCAGTTTTAAATAGTTTCATATAATATGCGTGTCTTTTCATTAGAAATATTTTTAAGATCACATGGGAAAATTCTTAAAGAAACTGTGATGGTTTCCCTCCTTCAAGAAGAGTAAATACAACTGTAAAACCTATTGAGCGTTTTACACTTGACTTAAAATAATAAAATATATAGAGTTGAGGGTGGTCAATGTGACCAAAGTAAATATGTTAGGTAAGTAACCTAATCATGTCGATAATTTGTACGTTTTAATTAGCATTACTTTCATATTTTTTAGGTTCATGGCAAAAATATTATCCAAAACACACTGTTCTATCTGGAGAAGTGAAAGTAGAAATCACTCAGGCAATCTCTAGGTCAACAAAAAAATTTTCAACCACTGAGTTTCCGAAATTTCTAAGAGGAGCATATATCAGCATATTCTACCCGTCGTGCTTGCTAGATTACACTCAAATCGATGTACGCCCTCTGGGTATTTCCTCCGAAATGATTGGACCCCATCTGAGATTCCTGTACGAACTTCACAGGCGTCTTCATTTCTTCTTTGTAAGGGACCACGATCTTCGTGTCCAGGAGAACAAATTGGTAAGTATTTTGGTGTGAACTGAGGTAAAATAGATTGGTATAATTGATTAAAAATTTACATGATGTCTTACATTCATGATAGCACCTCTCACCAATGAACGGTTTAATATTAATGATAATGAGAGGAGAGAGAGCATATGAAAATGCATGCACACAATTGCGGTATCTTAAGAAATATTTTGTGAGGAATGTTGATTCCGGATGTGTTTAACGTTAGGTCATTGGGACCATAATGGAATTGTATTTAAATCGCGGGAGGCAAGCGGGTTCCTCTCCCGATGGAACGTGAGAACCGGGACCGACGTACTCGTCGGCTTTGGGTTTACGCTTTCATTGTGTATCTTCCAGCAAAGCAGCGGCCCGGCTGTCCTCGAGATGTGTGGTAGTGTAGTGTGGTGCTTGTATGGTAGGGTAGTGAAGGTAAGACCGCGTACGATCGCGTGCTTTTTTAGGAAACTGGCATTTACGTCTTCTTTATCGCACTCACTCTTTATCGAAAAAAAATATGGAAAACTCCCAATCAGAACCGTCGACCCAGAGCCGTAACGTTCGGGCCCGCAAGGTCCGCGACGCGGGCGGACCCAGGTAAAATAGGGCACACTTTTATGCTGAAGGTTTTGCGATTGTAAGAAATATGAATTATTTGATCCTTTCTCTGATACTTTGATGATACTAAAGTTGATACAATAAAATCTCTGAGACTATAGTTGACACAATAAAATACTAAAAACAGCTTCTTCCAGAAGAACGGTTGTTTTTCGTTTCGGTAGCTTGTATAACCCTATTTCAAAATCAATAAACTAGACAAATTATTTGGATTTTATAAGTAATAATTTTTATAAAATGAAATAATAAAGGCAGTTTTCCACTATTAATAATAGACTGATTATTAATAATAGACGGATGAATTCGAATGTTTTAAAGGATATTTTCATGATTTGAGGTACTAACACTACTTGTGTATAAACGGAGCCCGGATTTTCGAGCGGGCCCGCATTCGTTTCGTTAAGCTACTGAGCCGTCCGCTAGTATTCTGCTCCAGACAATAGTTAAATTAGACCTAACTGTGTAGCTGCTGATGAGAATCCTCTAAATCTGACTCTGGAATTCTAATATCTTCCAATAAACGATGGTCCAGATGCTGCATTGCCGATTGGTGCAGAAGCCACGTTGGTATAACCGTTAAGATATCGCAGCAGGTAAAGATTTCGTTAAAATGTTCGGAAAACCATATGTATGTTTAAAATACACATTTTTATATTTGAGTAAATTCTACATTAATGTACAACCTGTAATAACTTATACATTCATTTACAAAATAATTTAGGTTGAGAATTTTCTTGTGATAGCCATATCTATGATTTTGGTATTTTGATTCGTAATTTCGAAATTGTTTATGAAACTGGGAATCGTGAATAATCTGTAATCATTAATGTTTAATATAACATTGTGACATACTTTGGCCTGTTTTGAAAATTGCTATGCGATTTGGAGTTATAAAACGTAATCACTTGCTTTTTATTCTATATTATGACATGCGACAAACTTTACAGGTAAAGTTTAAAGACTGTCATTGTAGAATTTATCATAGTGTTAAGAATGCACGCTTACTGTAAAAAGTATAGTGTAGGTGTGCGAAAAAATTGGGAGGGAGATGTCAAAAATAAATGTGAAATTATGCATATTCCTGAAATCCATTTGCACTGTAAATGATCTGTGTCTGGGTTCCCTAAAGGTGTCTCTCTCCTCCATCGTGTTTGAAATCTTTTGTTGTAAAGTAAGACTCTTATTATAATTTTGAAGGAAATTTTGGAAGATTTACGTAATTGTACTAATGAATGAAAACAAAAAAGTTTTCATTATCAGTATCATTGGAACATAACTAACATGACACAACCGTAAAACCATTTAATCATTTACAGTTTAAGTCAAAACATCTATTTAGAAAATATTACGTTTTACTAGTATTTTAGTTTATTAAATAGTTCCTGAATAACCCAGATTTAAAACGAAACTCTCTTTGGCAACGAAATACACGACTCCATCCAATGTCATCAGTTCTCCTAAAAAAGGCAATTATTTTTAACCTGTCACTTTCCTTGTGCCCCTACAATGCATGTGAATCTTCACAGTGCAAGCCCAGCAAAAACAGAAGTATCCTCTTCGAAAACTGGCTTATTTCGACGGCGTTCACTGAGCTCGTGCTGGGCCGCATTCAGTTCCTGGGCATGCCCTTGGACGTGATGAACGACGCCCCCGGCGACATCATCGCCGCCTCGTTGACTGGCAACGTCGTCACCGCCGTCGTGCCCCGCGCCCGCCCGCTGCCGGCGTGGTAAGTGCACTACCAGGGCCGCATTAATGTCTTCTGGGGGGTGCGTTCATCACTATCAGCTAGGGGAAATCTCTCTACCATCTTCCTCGGTTAGATAAACAAATGTTTAATGTCACTTTTCTGAGAAACTTTCGGTTTCTAGCACAGCAGTTTCTTGGCGACGTCTCTTCTATATTGTCCAGAAAAATGTAGAGATTATGTAAATAGTGCAGAAAAAAAAGTCTACTATTTCCTGATAAATACGACAAAAAGGCAAATTTGCCAACTGTCGGAATTGAAGTTATTATCATTACAAGGTCCCTGTATCGCTTGCAATCGTACACGACCTCGTTATCAGATCGCTCGTCATCAGTATTCCATCAGCTTTTTTCACTTCAAATTACTCACCTACATCTATCTTTTATATATATATATATTATAATATATATATATATATATAATAATAAATGATTAGATGGTAGGTGAGTTTTATATATATATTATATATATATATATATATACTACTTGAAACGAAGAACGTTTCTACATAATAATTAAGCAAACTGTTAATTAATTATAAGAGAGCACGCTGATTCGATCAGCGAGTGACGCCGCCGCGCCGCTGCACCAACCGGTCAAACCGGGGGCAGGTGCTCCGCGGACGTGAGTGCGTTGGTCAGTAGCGAACAAGGACCACGAGCGCCGGGTATTAACGAACTGGACGCACGAGTGCGGGTGTAATATTGCGAGAGGGGGCCGCTAGTGCCCGGGTGAAGAAATATAGAACGGAGAAAGCCGCGGGCCGCATGCGGATGGGCTGTGATGCCAAACACATGTATGGTGAAATTACCAACTAGCTGTGGGACTGATTATAGTTATTGAGTCGGGAGATTAGAGGTGCTAAATAAATTCTAGATAATTAGAAGAAACAGTAGGCGAACCAGGACCGAATTCGTGGAAAAACATTAACAGTGGAATTTAAGTGATCGATAGACACGCTACCATGTCCGCTGGATGTAATGCAACAGCGGTCCGAACGTGCGAAACAATTGTGTGGGGATTGAGGACGAACGGCTGTAATTCGGGGGGCTGCGCGACGGGACGCCGCTGCGTGTTGGGGCCAGCACACGGACACCGCCGAAATCGGCTTCCGGAACAATTCGGGACGGAAGCGAGTTTGCCGAGGCGCGCCGCGCCGTTGCCACGCGGGCCACGATCGCCTCCAGTAGCCGGTGGACTCGGAGCTTCAAAGGTAGCGTACTCGTGCACGAACTATTTAAATAGGCTTGCGCACGGGCGAATTGTAAAGACTTATGGTATTAGTGTGTTAATTATTAAACTGCCAATTTGGCCTAAATGAATTTCTTTCGAAGTATTCTTCCAATGCGCAGCGTCAATTTCCCTGGAGACCCTTCACTAGTAAAAAAAAAATGGTTTACCGTTCCTGTATATGTTTTATTTGTCGGTGAAGTACCGTTTCCCGGTACGTCACAATATATATATATTAATAATATATATATACTATATATATATATATATATATATATTATATATATATATAATATATATATATTGGTGGTGTGTGAAAATAGGTAGATATTACATATACATAGTAAATAACTTCATACAGTAGCTAGGCTGAAGGCTACAGGAAATTACAACAGCTCATCCTACCTATCTCTGACCTTTCGGATTTCTTGGTGTTCCCCCCCAAATGGTCTCTCCACCGCATTAAGCTGCGGAAAAAGTTTACATAAGTTACCACTCAGGAAAAACTTCCTGAAGGGGAATAACCTGCTCCAGAAGCCGAGTAAATGTTAATCTAGCAGACTATTGAAACCAATTTATTTATTTAACCTGCGCGGACGTCACGCATTCTCCTTTCAGAGTTTGGTGGCAGCTGCTTCAGGAGACAGCGACTGAAGTAGTACAGAATAGACGAAGCGCAGTCAAAAGACGAAGCGTCACTTGGGCAGAACGTGATCGCAGTTTGTGCACTGACGGATGATGTCGAGGGGAGGGGAGAGGAGAACAGGGATACCCACTCCCTTTGTCCGCCCTTTACCAAAATGATCTAAAAATGATCTTGAATGTTTTTAAATACTCTTACAAACAAAGAAAATGGATAACTTTGGTATCAGGCAACACTTCAGAGGAGGGAAAAAACCGAACTCAAAGCTGTTGGATATGTGACTACACGTATTCGAACATCTTCCTTTTGTTCAAGTGAACTCAACTTGCAAACTTTGGGTTTTAAGACTGTTTGTAAAAGAAAATCTTCGTTATTTATTGCAACAAATGGGTCGAACTCACAATGGCGCCGATTAAACGTTAAAGAAACCTTAGATTAACACAATACCCACACGGCTGACATTACAATATTAAGCGAAGAAATCCAACAGGCTAGCTTCAGGAATTGACATTTTTTTTGCCGTTTGCAAAATAATTGTCTTGAAGTACGTGCCATTAAACATGTTAAAATCGATAAACAGGCGAAAAACATTAAAGAGGTAAAAATGACCTTATTAATCGAAATCGAAACAAATGCAAAAATATTACATATGCAAATGGGCCATTTTCGCTTTCGTCATAATATAAAAAATGAATTTCATGCTAACCGTCATTGCTTTAATGTGAAAATAAAAAAATAACACTATTTACATTACTTAACAGTTTACTAACCTGTAATTTCAATATCTGATTAACTTTTCACTGCTTTTGCTTGTTAACTTCATTTCCTACTCCGTCTAGGATCGCTTCTACTAACCAATGCTGTTTTCCCAGTCCTTTATTTCCGTTTCCCTATGGTTAAACGCTTTCTAGAATGTTCCTAATTCTTCAGAGATTGAGATCTTTTAACACCACTAATATGTTTTAGTTACGAGCGAGCGTTACGTTTCGATGTGGAAGAAGTACTTTCCCATCATTCATTTCAGTCTCCGTGAGTGTTATCGTGGCTTAGTGGCACGGTACAAAATACTGTTCGCCATATTTTCTATGCTCATATGGAAGCTATTTCCAGAAAGCAAACATTCTTTCTTCACAATAGCAGCTCACTTCACATACTTCAAGTTTCTGGTACTTGGATTACTCTACGATTAACGGGCTATATATACAGGCATCTTGTGTTCTTGGTATTATGCATTTTGTGTGCGCGCGCCGCGCAAGGCCGTCTGAGAGCGAGTAGGACGTTTTGCGTGCTGCGTGCAGTCGCTGCCGTGCGCGTGTTGGGCGCGACGTGTGCGCGACGTGGCGGGCGCGCTCGGCGAGACGTATCCGCGCTGGCGTGGCGCGATGGTGGCGCGTTGCGTCGCTGGGCGGCAGCGCTGGGGCCGCGGCCCTCGCCCGCCTTCTCTCGGCACGGCGGCCCGCCAGAAGCCGCGTGCGCGCGCGCCGCAGCGCTGCAGCTGCGCCGCGCTTGCTCGCCTCCGGCCGTGTCGTCTTCGTCGCCGTCTATCAGGTACTACTCATTCGTCCATTGATTCATTCGTGTTTCCGGGCGCATCGCCTGATGCGGTCATTAGTTCCGCCAAAGTAGCGCATGTTTGTATATCGGGAGGTGGCGGTGTTCTTCCTCAGCTGAATGGTTAGATTTGGCGCAGTCCTTCAACTCGGATTGCGGTGTTTTTTCATGAAGGTATTACCCTCATGTGTTTTCTTAAGCTCTCATTTCCGTACATGTGAGAGGAATGGGGATGTTGATTATTTTGTCGACAGGTCTATTAGATGCAATGTGTGGTTCATTTTTTGGTACAAAATAGTTTCTATTACAGGGGAGAGAATATTTATGGTTATTGGATTCAGACAAAAAAGCTTGCTGCTCTCATTTGCTCAGAATTAAACGAATGTTTGTAAATGAGTGGGGGCAGGTTTTCCGGGAATGAAGACGAGTTGCGCGTTTAATATCTCCCACCAGCGGCGAATCGGTCCAGCGAGGACAGCTCTAAGCTCCCGACGCTTTCCCGATATATATTGTACGAGGAAAAGTGCCTGTATGTAAGTGGTATGTATGTAAAGTATATGTAAGAAAAGGGTCTGGATAGAAATAGGCAGACATTTGCTTGTTGTTGACCGGAGAAACCACGGAAAACTACTGAAAAGTGCATCCAGCCGCTAAAATTCTCGTTCAGAGAACAGATGAATTCGTCATAGCTATATAGAGTGTGTCAATAATTCTGCCATCGTCACGAGTCCAACCCTAGGGCCTCCTGGTCAGCGGCACTACAGTAGATTAACTTGGCGGCATTACAGTACATTAACTTGATGGCCTGAGCTACTTACGCCTGACTGAAACCGACGTGCGCGAAGAGCGCGAAAATCAATTCTCCCTAGGAGATGGCTTAGGGTGATCGCTATTGTCACTGCAGTGTCGGAAGGTCCTAGGGTTCGAGTACTCAGGGTGACGGATTTTCGTCACAATTACAGCAAATTCAGCCGCCGCTTGAAGAAGAATTCCAGCAACCGGCTGCTCAAATCGGTAGTTTTGCGTGGTTTCTTCGATCAGTACCACTTGGAATGCCGAAAGAGTACATTAATAAACACCGGACAAAGACCGAGCGCGATCATTCCTTTCTCATTCTTGTCCCCTTCGCTCCCCACCCTTATACTTACATGTATTACACGGAAACATATGACGGGAGTGTAGCCGAGAACTTGGCGCTGGGTCCGGTTGGGGCAGTGCTACGTTGGCAAAGGCATCATAGGATAGGAAACTCCGACACATGACCAAAATCTTCTGTTCCAGTGCGGGTGAAACATCGGTACCTTCTTGGATATAGCATGTTCCACACTTATTGACTTAATTACCAAAGTACCAAGGGATTGACGACGTCCGGAAACCCTAAGTCAGAGAGGGAGTTCGAACATTAAGCCTTCAACGCGAAACGCTGTCTTGAGATGGCATCTTTCACCATCGTGTACATAGACATCTAAGTATTTTCTCTCTGCGGCTGGATGCCATGTGGATACGGAGGTTTGATTCACTTGCTGCCCCTGTGTTCCCCTGCTGCTCCTGTGACGCA